CAAATACAGGTGATCAAACAAATGGATCATCGCGCTGTATTCCCATATCCTTGGCCGGCAATACAAGCATCGGACTTTGGTAAAGCGTTCAGCAATGATTCGCCAATAATGTTTAGTCCGGGACATTTAATTGTGATAACAGCACGCTGCTTTGACAATAAGAAAGGACAATTTATAATCAAATTCTTGGAAAGTGATACGAAAAGAGAGGAGTTACATTTCAGTGTGCGCTTTGATCAGAAAGCTGTTGTGCGTAATTCGATGAATAAGGCCTTCGAGTGAGTTTAGTGTAAATAAGTACATAAAATAAATTAAAATTTTAATAAATTAAAAAATACACATTTATTTTAGATTCGGACAAGAGGAACGCCATGGTGGATTTCCCTTCGTTTTTAATCAGCAGTTTAAACTTGCTATCGCATTCACGGAACGTGAATTTCTCACCGCTGTAGATGGATATAACTTCTGCAGCTACGCCTATCGCACAACGAATGTATTTCAAAATCTTGTCGGATTTAAAGTGACGTGCATAAATGGCTTGCATATGCATGTGACTGGTGTAGATCATTTGCAAATGGGTGACCCCTCTTGTACGGGTTTCGAAAAGTATTCCAAGCACGATTATGAATGTGCTTAACATGATTTTTTTAATTTTATAAGTTCAACTTTCCTATGCTCTATATGTACATACGTATATGTTAATTATTGACTAACTACATTCCTGTAAGCATAAAATAAGAACCGAAGCTCCATATTATATAAAAAAAAAGAAATATTCTACTTACATTTCCCGGCGCTGTAACATCATTGCAAAAGTAACAACCCAAATTGGCGCCACTGATACATTTCAAGTCGTCAATATCTATCGCAAGGGCAGCATCACCAGAAGCTGCGTTATTTTGTGCACCTGCACCATGACGCATAACTAAGTAGCTATCGAAGCCCAAAGCTGAATTTATAACTATCTGTACAATAATTGAGCATTTTAAAAAAGAGCAAGATGAACATTAACTGTAAAAAAGTAGACCAACTTTTTGAAAAGTAGTCCCCAGCAGTGTTGGCAACCAGCGACTTTCTCTCGAATCAGTTAGTAGAAAGCTAACATCATGCTCTTCCACCAAGCGTTTAATAGTGTTCAAGTCTTCGTCAATTTGTTGTTGCATAGAGGCGCCTATAGTATGTCCAGGCATTGGAATTTGCATAACGTAACCAGTAGAAGTCTAAAAAAGGGAAACATATTAAATTGGATTAAAATATACATACATGTACATATGTATTTATACACACCGCAGTTGGATTTATATCTTTTACGCGTTTGGCCGCAATTTGTGCTTTCATTACATTGCCGGCAATTGCATCTGCATGGGTGTACAGCGTTTGTCGCAATGGATTTGAATAGCTGACACGGCCACTATCCACAAAAGTTATATGCTTAAAGCCCCAAGCAAGCAAATTGCGCGCTACATTACACCCGAGAGTTCCTGCACCGAAGAGTAAGCATTTCGTTTTCGATATAATATCCAAATCCAAGTCTGGCACTAAACGCCATTTCATTAGTTTCAAATTTAAATTTATGGCACTTTCAACTAAACTAAAAATAAGACATAGAATTAGAGACATAAGTGTTTATGTTAGTATATGAACAGTTTAGAAGCAAAAAATACTTACATAGTTGGGTCCATGCTGTCTCGCATCGAAACCATGCGTGGCCCCATTTTATTATTACGATTGGGTTCCCAGCCAACGAATTGCGTCATCTCATCGAAATGTACTTCTTCCGATTGCTGTACAGTCCAAACGAGGCTTTTACTGCATTCGCCTTTGTTATCGAAACGTATTCCCAAAAATTTTATTAGCTTTCCAACCAATGAAGGACTAAAATAAAAACAATTTAGTAAAATTAACATAATTAGATATAAACATTAATTTATAATTGCACTTACCATTTGTAAAAGATATACGCTGCATATATACGCATCAGCCATGAAGGATGCTCATATTCACTGGGATCAGCAAAGGCAAAGTAAATGTAATCGCTTTGTTCTGCTAATGACGTGTTATCAGAAAATACATCTCTTAATTCGTAGATGGCGTTTTTTTCATTGCTTTTGACTAAGAAAAAATTGGTTATTCCCCCCTTACTGTTAAGTAAACTATTTAAATGCTCCAACTCTGGAATGTCCGACAATATTTTTGGGCCCGAATCACTCGGAATCTTTAAAGTTCGCGTCAGTGGACAAGGAAAGGCAAACCAATAGTAGTAATTGTAGGTGGCAAGGTCCTGTTCAGAAATATTTAAAAATAGAAATTAGTGTGAGGTAGAAGGGTATTAGCTAAACAACTGTTTTTTTAAGGATTGGTCACTTGACTAGGTCTGCGCACTAAATAACCTGGAATATCCTATCTAGGTCACTCGAACAAGGCAAGTGACGTCATACCACTACTTGTGATGATTACCGCAAATGAAAGCACGAAGAAACGGGCCAGCAATTTGGGGTCCTCCAGTACGCGGTCAGCGCGAAAATCCTGTATTAATTTTCTTCCCTCAATTTGCAATAATTCATTTTTATCACACGCTTTAAAGTCTTCAATTGTGTTCTTATTGTAGAGAGTGCCGACAGCAGGGTGGCATTGTCTTGGTGCCGTGAAGTCGCTGTTGTTTTTATGATAGCAGATACAGCGTAAGTAATTATTGCTCATTCAAACTATGTATGTATGTATGTATGTACTTACCCATTGAAAGCGGAGTAATCTGTTTCGAGAAGACACGCCTTTGCGTTGAGATTAGTATAGTAACCAAATATTGGTTTAGGAGCATCCGAAAGTCGGTCGTGATTTAACTTGATTTCCGACAATTTGTGCCAAAAATTTGGATTTACAAAAGATTGTAGGGGTGCGTACTGTAGTACAATGTTGTTATTACACATGTCTAACCTTTTTTTGATAGTAAACCCACTATTTAAAGTAATAATGTATTATATAGATAGAACTTGATAGACGTTGGCTATTCGGACCTCGTACCGAGCGACTTTATCCCAAACATAAAGCTTTTGGTAAAATGTATTTCTGTGCGTTTACTCACACACGCGTATCTGTCGATTAGTTCACTTCACGTCAGGCTGCGTCTGTTTTTTCTGTACACAATGCAGATTCTTAACAAAGACCTACGAAAATCGATATGGTACATATAAAACAAAAAGGCACTTTGATAAGTAATCAGCGAATCGGATATAAACAAACGTAAAATCATCAGCTGATTGCACAAGAGCGAAACACAGTGCTACCAGATGTTCTAAATGAGTGGCCTTAACCCTTAAATGAGTTCGACGTGAGAATATTTTGAGCATTGCTTCAACTATTTATATACCCGCGAGTAGAGCTATCGATAGTGACGCCAGCCATTGATAGTTTCGGTAGTTTGAAAAATAGTATCGGTGTTTCGATAGTATCGTATACTATCGTGTTGTATATGTAGGGAAACTTCAACTCCGAATAAAATGTGTATAATATATACATATGTTAATATAAATATTACACATATGTCAGTATAAATATTACATCTTAAACGCGAAATTCTAAATATTTTCCCATGTTCAATTCACAGCGTCACTTTATTTTAAGTAAAGATCACAAAATGTCAATACACCGGCACTATCGACCATCGATAGTTTTGCAGCTCTACTCGCGAGATGGACGATTGAAAAACAAATCAAATAGAAACAATTTTCAGATATACCGTCGCCTGGGTAAAAGATTGTCGTAAGCGCCATTTTGACGATTTTTAGTTCTAGATGCAGTTATATATTTTGAAATAAGGTCTTTCGATTGGTGTTATCAGTTTTAGATATCTCCTTTAGTTTCCGAAATATTGAAAGCTTCAATCGCAATTTTCCACAACCTGCCGAAATTAACATACGACAATCGTTTACCCAGGCGACGATTCAAGTTTTTAGTTAACAGATACTTTCGTGGAAAAAGTGAATACATATTTTGTTCCAGTGGACTACTGGTAATCGATACATCTATGCAATTTTCGCATAACATAGAAGAAGTAGCGGTTATTTCAGAGTACATAACTCCATGTTTGTAATTTTTGGATTGTACTATTGAAGTGAATGTATTAGTTATTTTGGGCTGGATTTCCTTTACGGACGATTTTCTTTCGCTTTCTATATCGAATTGCATGGACCGAATTGAAATTCTTTCACTTACATATCGTCACCTGAAATGCTAAAAGACGTAACAAACAGCATCGTTGAAATGCAAAAAGTCATAACTAATAAAAAATTTGAAATTCACTTTTTGATTTATATGATGGATTTCATCGAATTACAACTCCCTACATCAATTTATAACAAGTAGTTTTTAGAAAAAAAACCGACTTCAATTCTCATAAAAAAAAAATATATATATATATATATATCTCATGATCTAATTATCGGATCTAAACCAGATTAGTATGGAACCACCTCTGAGACACTACCTTTCCGATGCAAAAAGAATTATCGAAATCGGTTGACGTGGTCCCAAAGTTATGCGGTAACATACATAAAAAAAAATATTCCGACCAACTGATAACCTCCTCCTTTTTTGGAAGTCGGTTAAAACAAAAAAAAATGGAATAGTAGCCTATGTCGAAAAGCTGGCTTTAGTATAATGCGGCATTCCCTTTATTCTTTAAACGACAAGGAATGTTTTGATGAGACTAACAGGTCTATTCTGCACGTTACCGAAGATTTTGTAACCGAAAAATTGTATTACCAAAAAATGTTACCAGTTCTTGTCACCGCGATTCTAGGTACGTTGGTAATGCAGCTAAAATATTAAGTAATTCGGCTATGAAGAATTGTGCAAATCCTGGCATTGCATATTTCACGTTGCAATAATTTGTTACCAGCTTATGAGATGGTAACAAAATTTACCGGTTACAAGAGTATACAGAATGCGAAAAGGGTTTAAAAATTTACAGGAACTTTATTTACCGGTTACAAACTTTTTATTACCAGAGCAGAATAGACCTGTTGGTAAGAATATTGACTTGCTAGTATCGGAACTATTTATGCACGTTTATTTGCCAAAAGTTCTTCAATGACTCGGCGCCAGTGAGTCATTCGCAATCGTATGCTGCGAATGCCGCAGTCCTTTCGACATAACCCACCAAACAATTTGTGTTGCCAGCAATAAGAAAACGTGTCGCCCTCGGAAACAAATTTATTGCCGGTAATATTGCCATCGAATCGATTTCCTATTACCGGTCGCTCTAAAACGTCCGCCGAAGGCAACTCGTCTGGGCGAGTCGTTTTCTTATTACCTGAATGAGTCCTTTTCTTATCGCTTCAGGCGATTTTTGGAATAATTTTATTCTTTTTAATACTTCATTTATTTTTTTGTACCAAATTGCAACTTACAATCGGAATTAATTCATTTTCTCGCTGTGCGACTTTCTATTTTTTCAATCTTGTCCTTGGGCATAATTTAGATGCTTTTGGCCAATACTATTGACGCCATATTCATAAGTTTCGGAATTTTTGAGAACTTTTTTTTATTCAAAATTGACATGAACGAAGTGATGTTGCCGATTTGTCACCACAGCAATAAATCGGTGAGTCGCCAATTTGTTGCCATTGACGATTGTTGCCTATTTCTCATGTTTTGCATGGTGGGAAGCTACTGTTCCATACGAACACAGATATATGTATGTAAGTGTAACACTATGTTCCAGATATTAGAAGTACTATTGAACTTACGGTATTTTAAATATAAAAACCGTTGTGAAAAGATTTATTTTCTTACTGATCGAACATAGGAATAATTACAAACAGCCTTGTACAACTGAAATGAAAAATCATATTTCTACTTAAAAAAGCCAGTTCCTTAGCAATTACGATGTAAATTTATTTTTAATTACGACATCTTTGCCATCAAACGTGATTTCATCCACAAATTGCTTTCTATTCACCCTGCATTGTACCCCACAACGCGTTGAGCCGCAGTTTTTACACTCATACCAGCAACCAGGACAGTTCTCATCCAAACAGTCGCATACGTCCATGCCATTATGACGCATATGACCATATTCATCGTAAACAGTTGATCGTGGATTGGTTAGTTTTCGTTTTAGCTTACGTTTTTCGCGGTTTGATTTTTCTGGATCGAAATCCTCCAGGAACTTCAGGTCTTCGGACCGTTCGCGTAGCCTTCGGTCCGACTGTTGTTTGCGGGGTCGTTCCCGCAGGGACATACGCAACGAACCAACACCCTCGGAGAGTTCACTATCAACATCCATAATTTGTTGGGCAGCGTTTACTTCTAGGGTATGTATTCCAATTAAAATATTTATTAAATTTACGAAATAATGAAATTAATCCTTTGCCGGCAGCTCCTAAACAAACTTTTTGTATTGACAGCAGTTTTGATCAGCTGATAAACGCGTACATGATGTTACCAGATGACAAACTAAGACAAAAAAAAATGATGAGTTTACGAGGGCTCGCTGCTTTGAAGATTTTTGGCATCAACGATGTGATTCTGATACACTATTGAGAGAAATAGAGGTTGCGCCCATCACGGTACCGCTGTTCCTCTCTCAGTGAATCTGACAGAATCGTTGTTTGTATGACGTCACCATTGTGCAACTTGTTTACGTTTTCCTTGCAACATTTTTGCTTCTTCTTCCATTATTGCTCACGTTTTGGTATTTCTCTCTCGCAATTGCACCAGTGTGATGTCAGACAAAAGTTATTCTCAAAAATCCTCTCTGATGGGCGCAATCTTGTATTCTATCATTCTTGATTCTGATAGAGATCTGGCTCAATTTAAGACACGCCCTGCTCGTTTTGTTTCACGGGCAATTTGAAACATGGTTTGGATGCACTGGAATGTATACAAAAATTGATATTAGTTGTGTTTTCTTCGGTTATCCAGCTCAGTACCTCGATCATTTCTCACGGAAATTATCTGGATCATTCCTATTGGGGTTGGCAACATTAACTTTTTACTACTATCACGAGGAAGACGAAATTATAAAAATATACTCACTAAACGGGAAAAAGTACCTTTACAGGATATAATATTCACTTATGATACATTTCCACTGGACTGATCCGAGATGATGCGACATCTTTTGAAATCCAGGTGGATTTCTTATATATTTTCATTATTTCGACTTCATGAATTTCAATCAGATCAAAATCCAAACTTTTGTAAAACGCACAAACCTTTAGATACTAAAAAGTTCAACCCTGCAGCTGCTTTACCTGAAATGTCAAAATTCTCTACAAAAACGAACGCACACAAGCACACACACTAATTAGCAAATGTCAACGAAATCCAAAGAAAACGCGGTTGAAACACTTAAGGCCCAACCACATACAACTTTGGCGTTGGCGTCGCTTCGACAGCTGATTATGAATACATGATTTCAAATGCAGCGGTCCACATAGCCAAAATTCGGCAACGCTAACGCCGACACAAAACAGAAAGATGGCCTACTCTCAACTTTTCGCGTGTGTCGTTCGTCAGCTGTTGCAAATAAATAAAATCGTTTGAAATTGTTTTCCTATTCAATAGTAAATTTCAAATATTTTAAACATATTTTGAACAGGAACTTATAACTTTTTTACCATCTGTAAAACTGACGAAGTGGCAACCATCTAAAGGAGAAATCAGCTGACACGGAAAAATCTAAATTCCGCAGATTTCTGTGCTACGGGCTACAACTACAGAAACATTCTGCGGTGTTGAGTTTTCATTTACATGGCGCTTTGGTAAGACAGATCGTGTCAGCTGACTCGGGTTTACGTACCGGTAGGTGACTAATTTCAGCTTCAGTGAAACAAAACAAACAGAGCGGATCATAAACTGAACCACGAATGAGAGAATACAAAGGTTGCGCCGATCTCGGACCGCTATTCCTCTCTTGACGAATTTGACAGAATCGTTGTTTGCATGACGTCACACTGGTGCAACTTGTTTACATTTTCCTTGCAACATTTTTTCTTCTTCTTCCATTTTTGCTCACGTTTTGGCATTTCTCTCTCGCAATTGCACCAGTGTGACGTCCCACAAAAGTTATTCTCAAAAATCCTCTCTGATCGGCGCAATCTTGTATTCTATCATTCTTGAAACTGAACCAGATATCTATAGGGACACGATATCGAACCGAAATAATCGATATGGTACTCATTTAAAGTATCGCTGGAAAAATATCGGGTACCCATTAATATCGGAATAAAAAGACTCGATATCGCAAATATCGATACCAAAATCCAAAAAAAGAAATATCTGAAAAAGTGATTAGAAACCTCCGAGCGTATTTCTGCCGTAA